CCTCCCGTGGCCTCTGGGGCCCCGGGGCGTGCGCAACAGGCGGCCCGAGTCAGCGGGAAGCTGGAGCGGCGGCGGCGGCGGCTTCGGAGGGGTGTGGAGAGGCGAGGCCAAGCAGAGCCCCGCGCAGCCATGGAGTCGCTCCTGCTGCCGGTGCTGCTGCTGTTGGCCGTACTGTGGACGCAGGCGGCTGCCCTCATTAACCTCAAGTACTCGGTAGAAGAGGAGCAGCGCGCCGGGACCGTGATCGCCAACGTGGCCAAGGACGCGCGCGAGGCGGGCTTCGCGCTGGACCCACGGCAAGCCTCTGCCTTCCGTGTAGTGTCCAACTCGGCTCCGCACCTAGTGGACATCAACCCCAGCTCGGGCCTGCTGGTCACCAAGCAGAAGATCGATCGCGACCTGCTGTGCCGCCAGAGCCCCAAGTGCATCATCTCACTCGAGGTCATGTCCAGCTCAATGGAAATCTGCGTGATTAAGGTGGAAATCAAGGACTTGAACGACAACGCGCCCAGCTTCCCAGCGGCACAGATAGAATTGGAGATCTCGGAGGCGGCAAGCCCCGGCACACGCATTCCGCTGGACAGTGCCTACGACCCGGACTCAGGCAGCTTTGGCGTGCAGACCTACGAGCTCACACCTAATGAGCTGTTTGGCTTGGAAATTAAGACCCGCGGCGACGGGTCACGCTTTGCCGAACTAGTGGTGGAGAAGAGCCTGGACCGTGAGACGCAGTCGCACTATAGCTTTCGCATCACTGCTCTCGACGGTGGTGAGCCGCCGCACCTGGGCACTGTTGGCCTCAGCATCAAGGTGACCGACTCCAATGACAACAACCCAGTGTTTGGCGAGTCCACCTATTCGGTGAGCGTGCCAGAGAACTCACCTCCAAACACGCCCGTCATCCGCCTCAACGCCAGCGACCCAGACGAAGGCACCAATGGCCAGGTGGTCTATTCCTTCTATGGCTACGTTAATGACCGCACACGTGAGCTTTTCCAAATTGACCCTCACAGTGGCCTGGTCACGGTCACCGGTGCCCTAGACTACGAAGAGGGCCACGTGTACGAACTGGACGTTCAGGCCAAGGACCTGGGGCCCAACTCCATTCCAGCACATTGCAAGGTCACTGTCAGCGTTCTGGACACCAATGACAACCCACCAGTCATCAACCTGCTGTCGGTCAACAGCGAGCTGGTGGAGGTGAGCGAGAGCGCCCCCCCGGGCTACGTGATTGCTCTGGTTCGGGTGTCTGATCGCGATTCCGGCCTCAATGGGCGTGTGCAGTGCCGTTTGCTTGGCAACGTGCCCTTTCGGCTGCAGGAATATGAGAGCTTCTCCACTATCTTGGTAGACGGGCGGCTGGACCGCGAGCAGCACGACCAGTATAACCTCACCATCCAGGCGCGCGACGGCGGCGTGCCCATGCTTCAGAGTGCCAAGTCCTTCACTGTGCGCATCACCGACGAGAACGACAACCACCCGCACTTCTCTAAGCCCTACTATCAGGTCATTGTGCAGGAAAACAACACGCCCGGCGCCTATCTGCTCTCTGTGTCTGCCAGAGACCCCGACCTGGGTCTCAATGGCAGTGTCTCCTACCAGATAGTGCCGTCACAGGTGCGGGACATGCCTGTCTTCACCTATGTCTCCATCAACCCCAACTCGGGTGACATCTATGCGCTGCGATCCTTCAACCACGAGCAGACCAAGGCATTCGAATTCAAGGTGCTGGCCAAGGATGGCGGCCTGCCCTCGTTGCAGAGTAATGCTACGGTTCGGGTAATCATCCTTGACGTCAATGACAATACTCCAGTCATCACAGCCCCACCACTGATCAATGGCACCGCCGAGGTCTACATCCCCCGCAACTCCGGCATAGGGTATCTGGTAACAGTAGTCAAAGCAGACGACTACGACGAAGGAGAAAACGGCCGGGTCACTTACGACATGACCGAGGGTGATCGCGGCTTTTTTGAAATAGACCAGGTCAATGGCGAAGTCAGAACCACTCGCACCTTCGGCGAGAACTCCAAGGCTTCCTATGAACTTATTGTGGTGGCCCACGATCACGGCAAGACGTCTCTGTCGGCCTCTGCGCTCGTCCTGATCTACCTCTCCCCTGCTCTCGACGCCCAAGAGTCAATGGGCTCGGTGAACTTGTCCCTGATTTTCATTATCGCCTTGGGCTCCATTGCCGGCATCCTCTTTGTCACTATGATCTTCGTGGCAATCAAGTGCAAGCGAGACAACAAAGAGATCAGGACCTACAACTGCAGGTAGAGCCAACTTTTATTTTTTTCCTTCTTTGTCTTGGATGAATAAGGTGTATCTAAGTCTCTGTGTGAAAATCCCAATGCGTTTTTTTATTTTATTTTATTTTTTTTATTTAAAGGCATGCATGCACCTACAATGCTTCTTTTTGGAGGGGGAGTTTATGGCACTCCAAGTTGATCAATTCTTTTGATCTGACAATTTGCTGGAAGACAATCATTTACTGTTTGAATGGATTCTGTCACATAATGATGATGAGCAGAAAAGCAATTATCATTTTAAAAATTGCATAGCTGCCTCCATGAAGTTGTGACAGAAAAAAAATGAGAAAAAGAGAGAGAGGGAGGGAAAGGGAAGGACGGAGGGAGGGAGAGGGAGGGAAAGGGAAGAGAGAGAGAGAGAGAGAGAGAGAGAGAGAGAGAGAGAAGAAAAAGAGAGAGAGAGAGAGAGAGAGAGAGAGAGAGAGAGAGAGAGAAGGAGAGAGAGAGAGAGAAGGACTGAATTTAAGCAGAACCACCAAGTATCACTACTTGATTTCTGGGGCACAGTGTTTTGGGGACAGATACTAAAAGGAGAGGGAGTGCTGTCAACTGCTCCATCCTATTGTAGAGATAAAGTGTGAAGAGAGCCTGCGAGTGGGAGTCTAAGGTAGGAAACAGAGTTGGAGGGAAGAGAGAGCAGGAATAGGTGGGAAAGAAAGCAAGTGATTACTGTTTTTTGTTTTTTTTTTTGTTTTGTTTTTTTTTTTAGTGTGTTCTTTGCTTATGTTGTGTCCAGTCCCCAAATATCTGGCTATGTAAAGCAAAATTCTACTAGTCATCTGTACGTTTTCAAATATCTGGTCAGTTGGTGAGGTAGAGACCAAATATCCCAAAGAGGGACAGGACTTTGCATCCAGATGTTTCAGTAAAAATAGCCATCTTCTGGAGTTGATGGTGTTTCCCTCTAATGTGAGACTGCTGTGGCATTAAGATCTGCTCCCTACCAGTGGATGTCACTATGGACTATTGTGTTACAATTTCCTTTGAAGTGTGTGCAGGATATGTGAGTGTGGGGGGTGGCAGGAGAGAGAGAGAG